GCGAAAGCGTCTGCATTGTTTTTTGTTGTTTCATGTTTGTTTACTGTTTACATTTTAAAAAACTCATGGTTTTTAAAAACGTTGCATCGTTCTGCTGGTGTGTATCGAACAGTGTTGATTGTTGAATGTTGAGTGTAGGACTAGCAAGACTTTTATTAGAAAATGGGCAATAATATTTTAATAATGATTGTCACAGACTGTATAATTATGTATCCTTATTATATTGTGTTTTGCATGAATGAAGAGTACCTGGCTAGCGGAAGGACTGTCTGAGCGATCGTCATGTGTTGTTTCATGCTTTTGGGTGAGATCGCTCATGTACGTAAGGGGAGAGAAAGTGGTGAATAAAAGGGAGAGCGAAAGGTGAACGGGTGTTGTGTGCTAGAACTTGAACCTGAGGACTGTGGCTGTGAATGTAGGATGTTACTACGACACTTTGTTTCTTGACTGTGATTGTACTTATACCAGTTGTGACCATGGATTTACTATGGGTCTATTAATTCTCTGTACAAAGTGTAAATAAAGTTATTGTTTCACAACTACTGTTGCTCGTATGAGTATATTGAAGAACCCACAATAACAACAAAGAATTCATGTTGTTACATATGGTGTCAGAAGTGAGCGTCTACTGTTACATATGATGTCAAAAGTGGTTGAAGAAGTGGTGCTACTGTTACTGATTCTACTGTTACATTGTCAGAAGCAATTGAAGAAGTGATGTTGTTACATTGGTAAATTATATTGAAGTCTGAAATCGTCAACGAAGTTACAGTGTTACTACAAGTGATCAAGAATTGTCACATTATCATTGTAAGCAGTTTTCAACGTTTTTGAAGTGGTCTTCCACTGTTTACCAAGTACGTCAAGTTCTTGAAAGTCATCTATCTACACTCAAGTCAGAAGGGTTGCTGTAGTCAAGTCAGACGTTTTGTTCAAGTCAAGTCATCAACGTGATAATTTTTATCACCTTATTTCGATATTGTCTCACCAATGTCGAGTAAATATCGTCTGTGTGTTTTTTCTATTTGGATTTAGCTGTTCAATTTTTTTTCTATATGGATTAGCTGTTCAAGTTTTTCTACTGTTTGGATTTAGCAGATCAAGTTTATTTTTGTAACTGTTCCTAAACTGTTCCTAAAGATGTCTTATCTAAAACTGGACAAATTTCTACTCTGTAACAGGCTACTAGAACTATTTTGAATTTTTTCAACTTTTTGGAATCAACAAAGTGAACTATTTTTGTACTATATATGTACTATGAACTTTTCTTGGATTACTAGATGTCTCTAATCAACTGAACAAAGCCAGAATACAAGAAAGGGTATTGTAAATTAATTAACATTTATCTATTGTCAACTAATGAATTTATATTTTATGTCATAGAAAATATATCAAAATGTTATGTTTTGAAGAATATCTAGCACTAGCGAGGGCGCAAGGCATTAAGAAGATGAAGAAGCAGATAGCCTGGGCAAACACTCGATTTGACCGAGACATAGAAAAAGCATTAGAAGCATGGGACGAACAAAATGAACAACCCAAACGAGCTCATGGAAATGTATTGAGAGAACTAGATGATGTGATAGAAATAGTGTGTAATAAATCAAGAGGTATTACAGAAATGCAAGAAGAAAAAAAAATGTCAGATGGAGATAAAGTAGAGGAGACTGTACAACAAAAAGGGAAGAGAAAAAAAAGAAACAGAAAACAGAGAGCAGATAAAAGGGCTGAAACTTTGGAAAAACAAGTTGGCCTACATGAACTAGAATATAAACAAGAACTATTAGAAATGAAAGCTATAACAGACACAAATGAACCAAAATTAGAAAGTGAACAGACAGAATTTAAAGCAGAACTTGAAGAAGTAAATATTGGCAACCTTTGGAATGAAGAACAGAGTAACATAGTCCAGGAAGAATTGAAACCCAAGGATAAAACAGAGGTTGAACTTAATAATGATTTAAAGGTGACAGATACATTAGTATGTCTTAAGATTGACTCTTTTTTGAATGATACGCAGGTACACGAGAATATTATTGAAAGTTGTATCGTAAGTCCATCAGAGAATGGCAGTCAACAAGAAACAAGTCCATCAGAGAATGGCAGTCAACAAGAAACAAGTTCATCAGAGAATGGTAGTCAAAATGATTTAATAAGCCCATCAGTCAATGGCAGTGATGATTTAATAAGTCCATCGGAGAATGGCAGGAATCATGATAAACTAATGATGATTAATGAATCAGTGAACTTAATAAGCCACAATAAAGAGAACGTACCTATTGAGGAGTTACTTAGAAATCTGGAGTCAAACTTTAAAGAAGATATCCTAGAACTCAAGAATAAATTTAACAAAGAAATGGAGAAATTAACACAGAAATTTATGTGTGAATTAGAATCAATAAAGAAGCACAAGGAAGTTAAGAAAGATGAAACAGTAACTAGAAACTACAATGTCATTAATGCACAGAATGAAAGTAAAAGAAATTTAGCAAATTATGAATACAGTCAACATGTTAATAAGAATGTCATTAATGTCATTAATGCACAGAATGAAAGAAAAAGAAATTTAGCAAACTATGAATACAGTCACCATGTTTATAAGAAGCCAAAATCTAGATGTTTTTACTGCGGAAAAACAGGTCATTACCAAAATCAATGTTGGCATAGGTTGGCAAATCAGAGAAGAAACAATTATGTACACAGAAAGTCATGTGAGAAATACAGTAATTTAAGAAATGTATCAACTTCAAATCAGAATAACAAAAGTGTGAATAGGTATACTAATGGAAGTTACCGACGCAACACATATTATGAGAGGCCAAAGCAATGCCATAATATTTATATTGAGTTGGTTGATGAACCAAACCAACATACACAAAGCAAGATAACCACTGACGTTGTTCAGAAACCAGAGGAGAATATTAAAACAAATGAAGTAACACAAGTTACACGAAATCTAGGAAATGATTATGGTAGCACAGCTAAAAGCTACAATTTGAGGGAGAGATGGCATACAGGTCATCGTCAACTGCACGAGAACGATTACTCATGCTATAGAGGGTGCTAAGATTAAATTATCAATTTACAGTTTATTAATATTATACAGTCTGTAACTGTAATATATAAATATCAAACAATTTGTATCAGTAATATAAATTGTGTACTATTTCAAAAGATTGTAAACTGTATTATGTTAAACCTATTCTATACTATTAATTAACAGTGAATAAAGTAAATCAAGTAAAAGTTAGAGACTATTATTCCGCATAACAATAAGACGGAAGTCTCAATGATGAATTGTGTGTTAGCCATACCTGTGAAAGGCAATGTTGTTGTGTTGTGACCTAGATTTGTCTGAAATGGGTCAACTAGGGGAGACAACAAAGTATATTAATCATGCGTCGTAATAACATGCCTTGATGCTAAGGAAGTTTTTTACTACATAGGATATAATTATTTAATTCATGAGTTGAATTAAGTCTTTGATAATTTCAACTATGTATTATAGTTTGGTAATTCACTAAACTCATTTGTCTTGTTTATACAATTACTTGGTAATTGAAATGTTTTTCTTTCTCATATTTGAATACATTACACATAATGCTTGTGCATTAGTCTACAAAGAATGTATTTTTCCATGTTTTTTGAGATGTATAAAAATTTTGTTGTCTGGCACATGATCCTGCCCTACCAATATTGTATTTATAAATTTTGTTACACAAAATTTTAATTGAAGGGGGGACGTGTCACAGACTGTATAATTATGTATCCTTATTATATTGTGTTTTGCATGAATGAAGAGTACCTGGCTAGCGGAAGGACTGTCTGAGCGATCGTCATGTGTTGTTTCATGCTTTTGGGTGAGATCGCTCATGTACGTAAGGGGAGAGAAAGTGGTGAATAAAAGGGAGAGCGAAAGGTGAACGGGTGTTGTGTGCTAGAACTTGAACCTGAGGACTGTGGCTGTGAATGTAGGATGTTACTACGACACTTTGTTTCTTGACTGTGATTGTACTTATACCAGTTGTGACCATGGATTTACTATGGGTCTATTAATTCTCTGTACAAAGTGTAAATAAAGTTATTGTTTCACAACTACTGTTGCTCGTATGAGTATATTGAAGAACCCACAATAACAACAAAGAATTCATGTTGTTACAATGATAGATCTAATTTTAATTATTTTATTGTTAATCACAGTTGAAAACTGAGACTCAAAACGATCATACTAATAACCGCACCGAAACATTACGTAAAATGTAGGCGTCAATCACAGTGAATTAAATATTTACCAATATTCTTTAATTTTTAAATATTTATACAAATATTGATATTGTTTAACTGAATTTATATATATCTAGGTAAAATCACGGTAAAATCACGATATAGCGTCGGTTATTATTCCGGAACTGTATAGCAGTAAAAAACAGTAAAACCATGGCGTAGTCTGTCGAGCCGTTCCGGAAACCACCGGAAATACTGTAAACCATCATTTATTTGCCGCCATATTATTTTTTAATGCATAATTTTTTAAATGTGCAAGGATTGATTTTAGTTGCATTTTAAAAACTGTTTTGCTAATTATTTTGTATGTCTAATTAGTTTAAGTGTATTTGCTAATTATTGCTGCTACTAAACATTATTCTAGTTATTCTTACTACTTTTAACTTAACTTAAACTTTAGTTAATTTAGTTAATCTAATCGTCTTATTTACTAACAGAACTAGAGCTGGTTGTCGCAAATCTTCTGCAGGTTTTTTTCTTTTTTTAAAAAAAAAAACATTAATTACTACACTTGACTTTATTAATTATATTTAGATTTACTAATTGTTGCTAATTTTTTGTCAGTTAAACATTAAATTAAGTTAAAACATTAATTTAATGCACTTGACTTTATTTTTCTTTCACCGGTCAAATAAACTATGGTTTACAGTAACGAATGTTACCGAAACTCAACGAACATTACCCAATAATTTCCGACGCTATATCGTGATTTTACCTTAAGAAATAATATGAAAAAGGTGATTCATTAAATTTTAGTAGGGGCCTAATTAAAATAATTATTTCAATTTTAAAATGATTCTTAGGAGGATTTAGATTATTTATTTTAAATAATAATTTTAGGCCCTATGTTTTGAAAGTTGCAAAAATGTTTCAGATCTAGATCTAGATCTACCTACTTTTAAACATTAAAAACAATTGTATTAAAACTTTTCAGTAGGGGTCTATTATTAGATAAAGATTAGCAATGTTTTCATCAGATGCAGCCAAGCTTAACTACACTTATAATGAGTCACCTTTTTTTCATATTACTAGCCTCTGCTACCAAACAACAGTATAGTATAGTATATACTTAGTGATACTTTTATAAATTTAAATGTAGAACTCCATGGTAGCAGATGATTTAAATTTGACTATTACACTCAAATTTATTATAATTATAGTAAGGCTTCACCCAATCACTCACTAATCAGTAACCAAAAAGTTACACACTATGCTTTTGGCTTAAATGATAAAATTATAATTTTATTTCCACAGAATACTTCAAATGTGGTAGCAGCCTATTTCACAAACACAGCGTGTTATTTCAATGTTGCTGGCCATTGTTGCTGTCTTTTCATGTTGATTAAGAAACTGTAAACTAGATGGAACCTGTAATGAAACGAGTATTTATTCTGTGATGTACTAAGATGGCCCTTAGAAAAAAAATTAAACTTAGTCGATACTGCTGTGCACTTATTATTTGCGTATTAGTATTTTATATAATCATTTTTCATAACTTGTTAGATATTAGCTCTGTAGAAAGTGGTGGACGAGTAATAGAAAGGAAAGAAGCCACTGCTAGGTTTCTTGGGCCTTTGACCAAAGATAACATTGCAGAGCGGTTGATAATCATAATAAGAGAATTTGAAGATTTTGAAAACTCACTTGTTGAAACTGTTGATTCTGTCAATGAGATCTTGGGTAAAGTTCCAGTGTTGATTGTGGCGGATCATCTTCCTTATCCGCCATTTAAGCTGAGTCCTAAAAGCTCAGGGAAAATTGTTACTCTAAATAGTGATTTGACTAAAAATTATAGCAGTGGCTGTCTCTCACATTTTGTAGACAGCCAGTATGTACTTTTTCTTCCTGATGGAGTGAAAATTAAAACCTGGAAGCAATTACTATTCTATATCAATTTCCTCAAATCAAAACGTAACACAACTGCTGTTGCTATCCCGATTGCAAAAAATGTTATTGAATGCAAGGATTTTGATGTTGATTTGAAACGCTGGACAATATCATACAATGTGAATAATTCTGATATTTCTTCACAGTGTCCATTAGTAACTGGCGCACATGCTTTGTTGGTAAAAACTGAAGAATTTAAGTCATTACCTGAACCATTTGCTAGACCATTTCCATTTTCTTTTTATGTCCAGGCCAAGTTAAAAAACTGGAAAATAAGGATGGCTAAAGGTGAAAAGTTGGAGCAACTCAAAACTTTGTATTTAGACCCACACAATAGCTGGAAACACAAGCGGGCGGAAACAGAAAGACTCAAATCATTTTATTCCTCCGTGGGTATCAAACAAGAAATTCTACCCAATCACATCTCTAGATATTATGGTTGTGATAAAAATACCCCACGTTGTTTTGGTACAGTTGTCAATGACATGCCGGCGTATTTGTACGAGGGTAGGTGGACACCACCCTGTTGTCTGAAAGCTTTGAGAGAAACTGCAGCTCATGTTTTTTCTATTCTAGAGAAAAGTCAGGTCAGGTATTGGTTAGAAGGTGGCAGTTTGCTTGGTGCCGCGCGTCACAAGGATATAATCCCATGGGATTATGACGTCGATGTTGGTATATACAGAGATGATATCATCAAATGTAGAGAGCTAAACCATACAGAGACCGGGCCTTATGTTGATCAGAAAGGTTTTGTGTGGGAGAAAGCACCAGAGGGGCACTTCTATCGTGTGCAGTATTCAGAAGTAAACCACCTTCATGTGGATATCTATCCATTCTATTCTAAACATGGCATCATGACAAAGGATTCCTGGTTCCCTACACATCGGCAAGACACTGAGTTTCCTGAAAAGTTTTTGCAGCCATTGACTAAGATAGAATTTGCTGGTTTATCAGCCAGCGCTCCCAATAGTGTTAGAGAGTTTTTAGAGTACAAGTTTGGTGAGGGTGTTATTGAACAACCAAAGTACCCCAACTTACAGAATCCAAAGTAATCTTGACATCTATGATGTTGTTAACATGGCTCTGGTGCTATAGTGCACACTTGATGTTGATTGCATGAAAACTTACACGGCTCAGTGTTTTTTATGCTGTCTTTCTTAGTGATTATGACTGGGTCTGGCTTTCACGTAGTGTTTTATTTTCAGAAAACAGAATACTCGTTAAGCAAATTGTTTTTTATGAGTTGCTGATATTAATTTTCATAACTTGTGTTTTTGATTATTGATCACATTATTAACATATGTTGCAAATGTCAGTTGGTTTTGTTAAATGGTCTTACATTCATGTTGAGTTTCGGGGATGGTGTTGTCGAATAGTAAAGCGTTTTGTTGCTTTCTCAAGGTCTCACATTTGTATTTTTGTTCAGACTCAGGTATACAGGACATTGCTTAGTCCACCCAGCTGTGGGGGGTACCTGACTTAAGTTAGAGAAAGTAAACGAGGCTATGCATAGGTCTGAAAGGTGAATGTAACTTATTTACTGTAGTTGAATTTAGATTTTACATTCCATGTTTCTCTTGAATGAGAAGTGTTGTGACTTTTTGGTTTGATATATAACTAATGGTTTGTGTAGTTTATAATATAAACTATTACAGTCTACATAATACTTAGTGTGCAAGATTTGTTGTAGTAATAAGTGTATTGTTTGAAAAATACTTTAATCTACACTGGTAGTTTAGACATTTTTCATATTTCAAGATTAATTCATGAGAGTTATAGGAAGATGTGTAATTTTATAATGTAATTGTTTGTAATTACTGGTATTTATTTCATTATGAACTTATTTGTCATGGGATAGGACATCTCGTAAAAGATAACCCTAAAATTTTCATTGATTTCTTTTGAAAATCTATACTCAGTCCATTTTAATCAGGATATCTCTTAAAATAATTTACCTGTCTTGGGATCATATCTAAGACAGTCTACACAGTTTAAAATGTTAAGAAACAATTGGTCCAATTTCTCAAGTTTTCACCATGAACAGAAAAAAACTCACTACAACAGGTATGCAAAACCACCCACACAGTAGTGATAGGGGGGGGGTGTTGGTGGGGTTTCCAGGGTCTACTGGTGTGTTGTGAAATGAGAAAGTCTGTCCATCAAATATTTAACCATGATCTGAATCTGTTGAACCTGCTGTTAGTTCAGTGATGTATATTATCTTCAACATGTGGCATTATTAAGTTCACCCTAGTCTTCCTTGATACAATGTATTCATTAGGTCGTTGAGTTGCATGAACTACTGTCTAGAGATGCAAGTATGTCCAAGACTCTATTTATCATTCAATGGTGTGGTCAAGCAGTAGAGCACACATTTACTAGTCTGAAAGTCTCGAGTTTGGTTCCCTTGCTGTCTAGGTCACTGTCCTGAGACCTTGATGGCTGCAGTATGTGAACAGGGAAAGGGCTGGGTACAGTATCACTGGGTACACTATCACTGGGTACAGTATTACTGGGTACAGTATCACTGGGTACAGTATTACTCTACTGGGTACAGTATCACTGGGTACAGTATCACTATATACAGTATCATAGGGTACAGTATCACTGGGCACAGTATCACTGGGTACAGTATCACTGGGTACAGTATCACTATGTACAGTATTACTGGGTACAGTATCATAGGGTACAGTATCACTATGTACAGTATTACTGGGTACAGTATCACTATGTACAGTATTACTGGGTACAGTATCACTGGGTACAGTATTACTCTACTGGGTACAGTATCACTATGTACAGTATCACTGGGTACAGTATCACTGGGTACAGTATCACTGGGTACAGTATCACTGGGTACAGTATCACTATGTACAGTATCACTGGGTACAGTATCACTATGTACAGTATCACTGGGTACAGTATCACTGGGTACAGTATCACTGGGTACAGTATCACTGGGTACATTATCACTGGGTACAGTATCACTGGGTACAGCGAGTATCACTGAGTACAGCGAGTATCACTGGGTACAGTATCACTATATACAGTATCATAGGGTACAGTATCACTGGGTACAATATTACTGGGTACAGTGAGTATCACTGGGTACAGTATCACTGGGTACAGTATCACTGGGTACATCGAGTATCACTGTGTACAGTATCACTATATACAGTATCATAGGGTACAGTATCACTGGGTACAGTATCACTGGGTACAGTATCACTGGGTACAGCGAGTATCACTGTGTACAGTATCACTGGGTACAGCGAGTATCACTGTGTACAGTATCACTGGGTACAGCGAGTATCACTGTGTACAGTATCACTATATACAGTATCATAGGGTACAGTATCACTGTGTACAGTATCACTGGGTACAGTATCACTGGGTACAGCGAGTATCACTGTGTACAGTATCACTGGGTACAGTATCACTGGGTACAGTATCACTGGGTACAGCGAGTATCACTGTGTACAGTATCACTGGGTACAGTATCACTGGGTACAGTATCACTGGGTACAGCGAGTATCACTGTGTACAGTATCACTATATACAGTATCATAGGGTACAGTATCACTGGGTACAGTATTACTGGGTACAGTATCACTGGGTACAGTATCACTGGGTACAGTATCACTGGGTACAGTATCACTGGGTACAGTGAGTATCACAGGGTATATTGTGGCTGAATATGTTGTGGCCCTGTAGATCACCTGGTCCAAAGAATATTCTACTTTTATTTCTTAGCATTAACTCGCTCTATATGGCATGATATTCTGTATTTTATCTTAACACATGAAATGTTCATGTATATTCTGATATTTTATGCATATTAAGCAATTGATCATAATTATATATTATATTTATTATATATATTATATTTATAAGTAATTTAATTGTAAATAAAAAGGAAATTTCTGGCTAACTAAACTGTTAATTTTTTTTGTTTTAGATTTTTTTTCCACCACTTCTCTTATTATATAACATTTCTAACAACCATATTCCCCACCATATCATTTCTAACAACCATAGTCCCCACCAAACTACAATGCAATTTCTTACTTAAAACGTTGGGATTTTAAATTAAACTATTGGAATCAAATTGTTTTAGATAAAACTTGATTATTGTCTCTTCATTAAAAGCCATTGTAAAGTAAAATTTGTTCCTTAAAAGAAAAAATTAGTAAGTTAGTGAGTCAATATACATGACTATTCTAGTACCAGAAATTTGGGTAAAATTTAACATGAGAATAAAAAGTGTGGGTGGTGTTATGACTTATATTAATTTTGATCTATACCACCACCTAATCCATATAAGCATTTCACATAACAAAATTAAAAACCTTTATCCTTCATATAATTTAAAAAACACCGCCCCTCTAATCTCGCTTCTAAGTAACAAAGGAACTGTTTTTATACATTGTTACTTGTTGACTTAAACCCTCAATAAAGTTTAATCATTTGCAGCATTAAAAACAACAAATTAGTTTTGTAAATTATGTTATGTAATTATTTTATTTTAAGGGGATCCTAACAATTTTAACTACATTTCAAATCCATTTAGACAATTCGTGTTTATTTTTCTTTAACAAATCAAGATATAATGTTTTAAGTACTATAAATAGATGAACTAACACAGCAATTCAACTCTGCTAAAAACCAGCATTTAAGAACTTCACATGCTGACACAGTAAAACATATGTTTCTTAAAGGTTTTTTAACATGTCCACATCAGAAGGTAGAATATTGGGCACAGCTGGTATTGGCTGGCTTTTGTTTTAGTTATATTACATTCTTCATATGTAAGACCATTTTCTGGGACCATATGTATATATATGTATATATATATATATGTATATATATATATATGTATATATATATATATATATATATATATATATATATATATATATATATATATATATATGTAACTGGGGTAGGCCTAACTACCAGTTACAAATGATAACGAACGAGAAGCCGCGACGCAGTATGAAATCTGACGCAACCATAACAGGTGGCTTATTGGATCGGTCTGATAACAAGCTCAAAGCCAACGCGTGCTATTTTGGGAAACGGTACGAGAAGTTTCAGACGAGCTGTCAACTTTGATGGATGGGACGCAGATGTTTTAGTGAATCGGACGGTACGTCAGAAACTGCGACATTAGTATTCGGATACATCGATTACAAGTATCGATTACGGAAATGGAGACAAGTACGACTACGATTTCAAGGCATAAATAGGAGGGGACGGCAGAACTCGTCCTCTCTCTTCCCGTTTCGAGGCGCTTACCTCTTTCATCGCTCGCTTAGATCAGTCAGTCTGTGTGACTATGTCAAGTCGGTTATAGAACGGGTTAGCCGTATTGTGTTAAGAAGGATTATAGACATGTGGATTCAGTTATATAAAGCCTAGTGAAGGACTGTTAGGGGTCAGTTGATTCAGACTATTATTGAGAAGCATTCCTGTTGATTTATTGTGTTATTATGAAGCATTTCTTGATTCATGTAATAAAGGATCAATAGCGAACCTGCATCTTGAGTATCTATACTGTGGTCAATGTTGTCTAGAATGAGTGGTTAAACTCGTTAACACGTGGCACTACAGGCAATTAGGTCTCATTACATGTGGCGTTGCGAGCATGGTAACTGTTGGCTCGTTACAATTGGCGTTGTCGGCAGGATAAATGTTCGCTCGTCACAATTGGCGCTGCGAGCAGGATGAATTCAACTAGACTTGCCGTTTAAGGCACCTATAGTCAACCTTGTGCATAACTGTGTTTAGTGTGTGTGTGAATTCGGACATTCAGGAACTGTGAAAATTGAGGAACGAGGAAAAATTTTTCATACACACACGGTAAGAAAGAACTCTTTTTTTTAGTACTTAAGGAAGAAAATGTCTACTCTGGACGAGAAGCAGACCCATATAGTGGTCCTACCCAGAGAGTCCCATATTAACAAATTTTACGGGGACGGAGATCCAACTTTAACCAACAGGTTCAGTGAAGAGGTCAAAGCGGCCTGGGCCTCGAGACATATGTCACCAGAGGAAAGATTAAGACTGCTGATGGGCAGTATAGGTGAAACGGTTAGGGCAGAGGTTAAGTGCCACGATAGGACCGTCCAATCAGATCCAGATAAGGTGCTGGATCTGATTATGGAGACCTTTGGGGAGAGACGGTCGGGAGTGCAACTGCTATCGGGATTCGTGGGCTTAAAGCAGAGAATGGCGGAGAGTGTGATGGAGTACTCACACAGGATGAACAGGGCCTTTGATTTGGTAAAGGGCAAATCACCGGACATTGATGTACGCCTACTGAGGGACCATTTCATCGAGGGGCTAGCAACCCCGATCTTAAGGAGAGAGTTGAAGGAGGAGGTCCACAGAGACCAGCAGTTGACCTTCCTTCAGGTCAGGAACTCAGCGATCCGCAGGTCCGAGGATGAGGACCAATCGAACTGTTCGGTGGACAAAGTCTCTGTGCCTGAACAGAGACAATCCCCACCCACAGGGGCCGACACGATGGAGACCATGATGGCTCAACTGTTGGCCCACCTAGAGAAGGTTGACCAACGCTTG